GTAAATATATATTACGTGCCTGTTCATTCATTACATGCCAGTGGGTGTAACTATGGTTTTACTATGAGGCTAGACAGTTCGTAATTCATGGATTACTATGTGGGAGTAGAAAAAATATTAAAATAACAATTATTGTTTTACGTAATTTGTTTACAGACTGTTAGAAAGTGCACTAAATAAGCTTTCATCTGGTGTGCTACAAATTGATTTTGACCGAATATTAATAATAATAAGATTATTTAGATTTCAAATTTTCTCTTGGGTGTCCATTACTCGGGCAATTACCCTATGTATGTTTTTATATGTATATAACAAATATTTTATTGACATAGCTATACCAATATTATTGGAAACCTTTGTTGTACATGTTATATATTGGCTACTATAACTTCATATACATAGTACCTTAGTACTTAATATTACGCACTTGGGTATGTAAATATAAATCTATAAGGTTTATTGCGAAAAAAATAACCTAACATATGCACGAAACAAATGTAAGTTACGAAAGTTAACAAAAATCTCATTATTCTTATTAATATCGAGAGCGTCGATGCACAAGTGTTGTTAAAAAAAGACCCAAGGGCGTCCATTTACTTTTATCGCATAGTGTTTCTTTATCTACTATCACTAACGTTTTTGTAAAAAACAATCAGGTTGACCTATATAACATTATTCATTCAAGGAGACACTACCGTGAACTTGAATTCTGTTTTTATACTTCGGTTTTTCTTGTTGATGCGCTTGCTATATATCCGTGTTTTTACTTGCAAACTACAATTTAATTTATCTATCTATGGGATATTTGAAGGTTCTGCCTAGGGTTCTCCCAGGATGATAGCACCAACTGCAACCGTAGTAGCCGTTATACTGCAACCTGTTTTGAATAATCGGCCGAGCTACAGAATCCACGACGCAAGCAAACGGTAGAAACTTGTACAGTGTATCTTTCACATACACACCGTCCTGAAATAGTCGTTTTGCCTGTTTTGCAAACGCCTCTATAATCGTACTCATCAACGCAACATCGGGTTCGTGGGTTCCCACCCACACACCAGCCAAAACAGTATTACGAAAACGATCAATTGGAGGCAATTCATTGATTATCATTTGAATAGGCCACATCGACCGCTTAGATGATGCGAAAACTGGTGCGCCATCGATGTTAAAATTGTACGTAAAATGGAATTGGCACTGTCTTTTCAGTTCTCTGTACATGCTACCAGATGACACATCACAAACAGAGCCGTCATCGCTGGTGGAAGGACTTGTTGGCAAGTTCGAATTATTTTCTATTACGGTTTTCAACTGATCCTTAATCTCCGTTGTTATGAAATGCTCACTTTTGGCGCCGACAGTATTACGATAACAACACTCCGTGTTCGGACATACGACCATTTCGTGTTTTGGAATTGTCTGTCTAGTCACTAATAATGTTTTACATTTGACACAGTAATAATTATAGTCAACCGGACTACTCTTAAATTGTTTGTCTAAATAGTAGGTGTTGAGCATATTTTCCTGCGGTGCTTTAGCACACAGCTTAATCAAATCAAGAATATCCTGTACTGCAACTTTGGTAAGATGATGTCGGACCGCTAACGTATGTACCATTGTCAGAACATCAAATTCTGTAACATTCGCCTCGGCAAATAGTACTCTCGTTAAAGTGTCACGATGCAAATCATGGCCGGATGTTTGTAATATGTCTTCAACAACGATCTTTTCCAATTCGTCGTCATCACATGCGCTGCCGGTGTCAGACGATTCACCTACCGGTTCGAGTACAATGCTTTCAACATCGTCGTCTTCGTTTGTCACTGCTTCCTGTATCTCAGATACATCCATTATCTCGTCGTCAGTATCCATGTCCAAATTTTCTATAATTAAACCAATAGCTATCATTTACACACATACTTATGTACAATGTTGTTAAAACACACTAATTTCAGACATTATCACCATGTTTATTTGTACTGATACAAAAAAGATAAAAACAAAAAAAACCCAAAAACGCCTAATATTGCAAAATCACGTCATCTTTGCAAATAATAATACATAATAAACTACGAATGGGACTACAAGAACTGTTCAAAGTGTCCTCCGTTTCCAATTTGGCAATGGTGTAATCGATCAACAAAACGTCTCGATGTATGATTGTATTGATTGTACAATATTAAGTGTTTTTTTGTGATTTTTGTTCATTTATTTGTATCAGTAGAAATATGTATACATGTTGATAATTTCTGAAAGTAGTTTTTTATTCTGCTTCAGAAAATGTCAAAACATATGGGTGTTCCATAAGAAAAAAGAAGTAGGCGGCCCTGTCTGTCAAACCGACAGCGAAGAAAAAAATTGGTCTAAAGAGTTTAGACAGTACTTCCCTCGCTGTCCGAAACGTGAAGACTGCATGTCTGTTATGTTTTTTTTTCGCAGTAGATTTCAAAGCATTCGGTTTTATAGTTCCTGAGTAATAAAATAAATTTAGGCATTCATTATTTTTTTTGAGTCACCCGGTATATGCAAATTCAAAAAATATGAATGGAATGATAAATTACAAATACAGCCTCATCATATTTTGTATATTCTAGATAGGATTTATTCGGCAAACTTTTGAGCTGACGTCATCAGTTTTTTGTAGAAGATAACCAATATATTTTGACTAAAAATTTATTATGCTCTTTATAACCTTAAAACAATTGCAAGATTTCAAAACATTCGGTTCTGTAGTTCCTGATTAAATCAATAAAATACATTTACGCATTCATAATTTTTTTGGGTCACCTGTATATGCAAATCCAAAAACTATGAATGGAATGATAAATCACAAGAAGAAACTCATCATATTTTGTACATTTTAGATAGGATTTATTCAGCAAACTTTGGTGGTGACGTCATAAATTTTTTAGGGGGGATGAGCAAATACATTTTGATCAAAAACTTACCGTGCTTATGATAACTTTAAAACATCTTCAAGATTTCAAAGCATTCGGTTCTGTAGTTCCTGAGTAAATCAATAAAATAAATTTACGCATTCATTAATTTTTTTGAGTCACCTGTATATGCAAATCCCAAAAATATGAATGGGGGTGATAAATCACAAGTACAGACTCATCATATTTTGTACAGTTTAGATAGGATTTATTCGGCAAACTTTCGAGCTGACGTCATCAATTTTTTGGAGAAGATAACCAAATACATTTTGACTAAAAATTTATTATGCTCTTTATAGCCTTAAAATATCTGCAAGATTTCAAAGCATTCGGTTCTGTAGTTCCTGATTAACTCAATAAAATACATTTACGCATTCATTAATTTTTTTTTTTTGGGTCACCTGTATATGCAAATCCAAAAAATATGAATGGAGTGATAAATCACAAGTACAGACTCATCATATTTTGTACACTTTAGAGAGAATTTATTCAACAAAATTTTGTGGTGACGTCATAAATTTTTTAAGGGGGGAAGACCAAATACATGTTGATCACAAATTTACCATGCTTATGATAATTTTAAAACATTTTTAAGATTTCAAAGCATTCGGTTTTGTAGTTCCTGAGTAAATCAGTAAAATACATTTACGCATTCATTAATCTTTTTGAGTCACCCTGTATATGCAAATCCAAACAATATGAATGGAGTGATAAATCACAAGTACAGACTGATCATATTTTGTACATTTTAGATAGGATTTATTTGGCAACTTTTTGAGCTGACATCATCAAATTTTTGGAGGGGATAACCAAATATATTTTGACTAAAGATTTATGATGCTCTTTATAGCCTTAAAACAGTTGCAACATTTCAAAACATTCGGGTTAGCAGATTCAAAATTAAAATGCAAAATGTTGTTTTATAATTTTGATTTTTTTCCCAAAAATTTGGACGTTTCGGGTAAAAACTCAATTCGGAGTCGTAAACTACATGTGTAGGACTACGTTATTTTATACAATTTAATACCCATTAACTCTGTACAATTTTGAAGTGACGTCATCGCATTAGTGGTGGGGATGATTAGACAAATTTTGGTTAGCGTTTTACCATCTACATGATATTCCTAATATAAGTACAAAATTTCACAACAATCGGTCGAGTACTTTCGGAGATTATCTGTCTAATAAAACTCCGGGACGGCAGACAGACGGAAATGGGAGACCTATTTCTTCGTCTTCTAGGGGTCATGAAAGTTCGAGAAAACGTAAAAGTAGGGAGTCGGCCGACGGACTCGATTACAATACTTCCTTTGCTTACGCTCGGGAAGTAAAAAAGAAAACATGTGGTAGTCAAGTCGTCACGTTTTAACTGTATATCCAAAGCACATTTCATAAAAAGAAAACTTTTCAAATACCAACATTATTCGATCATTCATTCCGACACTTCATACTAATCCTGTATATTGGAAAGGATGCGTTGTATACTAAGATCACTTTAAAAGCATACAGATATTTTACAACTTTAGTCAAAGAACCCAACCCGCAAAACTCCAAAAGCATAAATTATGCAGGGACGACCGCCAGAGACCGTCCGCTTGGGGCAACACAGGACCGTATTTGTAACGAACGAAACCTCGTGTGATTGTCGTGACGAAAACTACTTTGTAATTTCTGTAATAAATTTTGTTGGAAAAAAAAACAGCGATTTTATTATATTATATTTGATAAAACCAGTAATTCAGATAAAACAAATTACGTAGTCGTTTTATCTGTTGTTGCAATCGACTAACATTGTACCTAAATATTATTTCCAAACAACTTACGGTAATATAGTTTTAAAAATAAATGTTTCAAAAGAAAGATAATGATAATTTTGTACTCTTGTGTTTAAAGTCATTAAGCCTTATCATAAATTTTCCCCATAGTGGTGGTTATCTTAGACCTTAAAACTGATAATTTAGACAGATATTACTCTCCCCACCTCCTCCAACGTTCTGTGTTTATACTACAAACGGACACTTGGCAATTCTAAAAATCATTTCATTTGAACACTGTGTTGTCGTAATTTTTCGTGTAGTGGCATTTTGGCGTCCACCTGATTTCGATAACTGTTGTCCATCATCTACTATAGACGAAAATATTCTTTTGGATGATACGGCATCAGATGTAGGTGATACCAGTGATGGAGTCTCGGCATCCGACGCAGAAGATCAAGAAGAAACAACTGCAAAACAAACACGTGGTTCTGGACTCCTTCCCGGAATGAAGGAAGCTATAAAACAGTGCATGAAACATTGGTTGCTGAAGCGCATAAAAAAACACTTAAAAAATAGTCTGTTTTATTGCAGTTGCCTATTAACACAGTGCGATCTGTAATTAATCGCAAAGAAAAATCTCGAAAATTAAGGGAAACATTTTCGAAAATAATCAACGACGTCAGTTTTCAAAATTTATTATTCCTATTGCACAAATCTTGTACCCACCGTAACATGGCTGTATAAAGCACTGTATAAAGATGGAATTGACATTCCTTATAAGATCACTCACTTTAGGTAGGTATTTGATTGTGCGTTAACCATCTTATTTCTTATTACAATGTTATAATCTTTTTTAGATCATTTCTCTCTATATTTGGTTTTATATTTCGACGGTTGAACAAACGTCAGTATATCCCTAATCGGTTAATTCTTGATGTTTTTATAACAATCACCACTCCTGAATGTTGAAGATTGTAGCCGACACCATTAAACGATTGCACTTTTTGCGGCAAAGATTCCTGATAAATTTTTGTAACGCCGACAGGAATATTCGGTCAATGAGAGTGAATCTGTTTTTAATGCTATATTTAATTTAATACATTAACAACCTCATGCATGGACAAGGGAAGACAAAAACTAATACAATATTCGCATTGATGTCCCTAATACCCGCTTAACATTATTATTATTATTATTATTATATTGTTACGAAATAAACTCATACGCCGCCTCGGTACGACGCCTTGGGTTTTCTCGAGAGCTTTCTAGTAGGTATGTACGTATGAGAGCCACCTTTTAAGGAATAAAATACAATTATAATCATTTCATTGCCTTGTGATAACCCAAACATGTCGCCTTGAATTCACACGTGAGGGAAACGTTACACTTGGTTGCCAAGATTGAACAATTTTCTTAATTTTTTTTATTCAAATTATTCAAATGCGATTTCGTGCAGTTGTTTTTTTTTTGCGCGAAATTTGAATCCACATTTGGACACCACAGCGTTTTGTATGTAGAAACACGTTACAGCCCATAATAGAAGTTTGAACTTCAGACCTCTAATAGGTGCCGATTGTAAGTGAAGAATCCAAAACAATAAATAATGACGGTTTTTCAAATTGGTTACCTAAATGAGCGTCCTCAATTGTTTCATCAATCATGCGAATACATGTTTATTCACACCTGCTGTTTCATATGGAAAGGCCGACATTAAAATCGCCCTATCGTCGTGAGCAAAAAATTCTAGTCGTCAATGTACATTTTTGTAAATAGCACACACTGATACTGACGACCAGAATTTTTTGCTCGCGACGGTATCTAGTTTTTAAAAAATACCCTCTAACACAGGTATTCAATAATATCACTGATGATATTTTGGGTAAGCTGACAACAAATTATACCATTTGTATCACTATCCCGTTAGTTATGATACGAAGGCTAACGGCAAGAAGCGTCTATAGTCTATATAGTTAACGCTGGCATGGTCCTCTTTCGCATTATCATATGGTACGTCGAAGACGATAGATTAATTAAAGACAGTTTGATCGGCGACCAGCTCTGGCTTGTATCATCGTCCTTTTCGCACACCAAGAGATAAGAATGATTCCAAGTTTAGAGACTGATTTCTGTTAAGAGGACCTGCACTCTGATACTCAAATAAAGAATAAGCCTAGTGTTAGTTTGGTGTTTTCGGATGTGGTAGAAACACTAGTTCGGTCAAAATAGACATACAAATAGTGATCAAATAACAAAAACTCCGACAGAGCTGAATTTTGGTACAGACCTTGGGTACACCAGTAGAAATAAAGTGCGAAAAGTCCCCATAGATCCCATATGTGCTAAAGAAGTTATTCAAGGTCAAAAGTCAACATTTTTGGTTTTTTGGATTTTTCTCAAAAAGGGTAGGTTTTATCAAACATATAGTTCAGACAAAAATAATAGAGCATACAATTATCTACAAAAATGGCCCTTATACTTTTTTCCTAAGATATCGCCGTTCTAAAAGTTGAAGGAGTTACATTCTACATGATATGCACACATTTCCATACCACCTGTGAGGTAGTGTACTTTGCGTTTTGTTGTTTTAACGTGGTGTCCCCAGTAGGCCTACGATATATTATGACGGAGATTTATGGGAAAATTTTGTATTTACTGCATGATGATTATTGATTTTGATATTGATATAGTTGATTGATTTAAACTATAATTCTAATTTCTGTTATCATTTTAATCTGATTCATACTCTTCACATTCGACTTCAACGGTCATATCTTCTTCAATTTCTTCTTCTTCTTCCTCTTCTTTTTGCTAGATATCCATAAATTGTTCAACTGAAGATGAATCAGCTATCTCTCCATCGATATCACATGAATCTTCGACTTTTGGATTCAATTGAACATTCGAGAAGAGTGGCCTCGGCAATTGGTGCACGCTGGTGAACACGACAACCCTACTCTTCTACACCCACATTTAGTACAACAACCTTTTTCGGAGCAGGTGGGAGCATAGTTTTGTAGGAACAACCGTTCCCACAAAATCAGGTGTTCTACCTGAGCGCATTCAAATAATTGTAAAAATGTAAATACTTCCTATCCTTCGTCTACCTGCCCTACGCTCCTACATACTTTCTCTTTTCCCTTCTAGAATTTTCTAAACTCCATTTTTACCTCCTTCCACCTCTTCGAAACCGAGCTTACCTGTGTACCATTTTAAACACCCTTCCTTCTTCTCCCTGACACCCTCGAACAGTAAGCAACGAAATAAAATCTTAAAACCGTACCGTCGCTTTTAAATCACCAACAATACCCACAGTTTGAATCGATTCCAAAGTATTATCTGTTAATTCAGTTTATAGCCTAGCCATGTCTGAACTTAATAGTATACTGGATACAAGTGTTGATGAGCAGAAGCCGATGTTGGAGGAAGACAAGATAGTTGTACTTGTTTCTTGTTTCGTTTTTTTTTTACAAAAGTTAAATATCTATACTTGTCGATACAATTAATTTTTTTGGAGCTCCATAAACAGCAAGGAGAAAGCGAATTCCTTTTGTGATTATCGTTTGAGGTTTGAGGACACGAGTCAATTTCTTCAAATACTTTAGCGCAATCAATTAAGTCCTTTTTTCAAACAATTTCAGTACTGATGTTTTACTCCTTCTGAATATTGCTGATCGACGAGTAGTATCGCAGTCGGTTATTGCATATAAAAATAAAATATGGTTTTGGCGTTTTGGATAAGCAGATAAGTTTCTTGAAGAATATATTTCTGTTCGCTGTTGAGCCTTTCCAGGTTTTAAAAAGTAAATAATTTTATCAATCTATGGTAGAAGGGACTGGCTAAGGGACTGAGTTTCTTTTGAGTGTATGTTCTCAGAATTGTTAATAGTTATTTATTATATTGTTCATAGTTATTTTATACATGTAAGAGACACGAATGGCATTTTTACTTACATTAAGAATCTGACTATGTATATACGTGGCATTTGTGTGCATACCATGTAGAATGTAACTCCTTCAACTTTTAGAACGGCGATATCTTAGGAATGGTGATTCTTACAGAATAAGTATACGGATCATTTTTGTAGATAATTTTATGATCTACAATTTTTGTCTGAGCTATATTTTCGATAAAACTTACCGTTTTCGAGAAACATCCAAAAAAACAACAATTTTGACCTTTGACCTTGGGACCTATGGAGACTTTTGCCACTTTATTTCTACTAGTCTATCCAAGGTTTCTACATAAATTCAGCTCTGTCGGAGTTTTTGTTATTTGAAATGTCTATTTTAACCGGACTACACTGGCCCGGAAATTTAACCACTGCTACGATAGGGAAGACCAGATCGTAAATTTGAAAAGACAATGGTGTATGTAATACAAACATACGCTAATGAAACCATTCAACGTAGATTTCACGGATTTGTTTTTCTTCGTTAGTGCCATGCCAACGCCACTTACGATATTGTTTTATCATGATTCATGAAAAACCGTTTTTTTCGAACCATGCAACTTTTACAGTTCGCTTATTAGCAATATTAACAGATCAGTAAAGATAATACGGAACATGCAATATCATCAAATACACAATGTTTTACTCACCTTCAACGCTACGATATTAAACAATTAAAGTTAAAATATGTTAATGGCCGACGGCGTACCTCATAGAATCTTCGAATCCTTCGACTTGTCTCCGTTTGCACATGTGCACTATACCACACTGTGATACCACTATACCATAGATTAATATATGTATGTAGATGCGACATACAGGCTGATTTTGCAAAATCACCCTTATTGACTTTGGAGTCCTCAATAAAAACCTTGTTTCACTATAATCGTGTAACCTGAATTAAAGTCGAGGAAACAGTAAGCAGCTTCTGATATTCTGGTACATCTATTGTCAATTTGTCGAAAGTAAAACCCGTCGTTAGAAATATTCTGATATTTCTTCAAGTTAATTTTATTCCTAGTTAGAAACAAACACTGTTACCAACATAAATCGATGAGTCCTCAACCGTCATTTGATTTTTACTACGACGGTTCTCCAGAGAACAATTTATGTTGGCAGCAGTGTTTGATCCTAACTAGGAATAAAATTAACTACAATAGAAGACATATCATAATATTTTTAACGACGCGTTTTACTTTCGACAAATTGACACTAGATTTACCAGAATATTACAAGCTGTTTATTACTGTTTCCTTCATTTTCATTCAAGTCAAACGAATTACAATTATAGTGAAACAAGGTTTTTATTGGCATTGACTGTTTAATTTTTGCGCTTGTCTTTGGTGGTTGAGGACTCCAATGTCAATAAGGGCGGTTTTGCAAAATCAGCCTGTATGTCGCATCTATATTAATCTATGGCTTCTCTATGTTCTCTGATTATGATCACCACCACCACCACCGCCACCCAGAACGAGTCGCTCGTAGGTCACTACCATAAAGGTAGAAAATGTATAGATTAATTTGTAAAATAGTTTTTACGTTGTGGGACGACAACCTGACGATTGTTATGGATCTATAGCCAGGTGTATCTGAAATATCTTTATAATATAAATACTCATTATGCTTAGTTGAATTATTTATTTAATGCTGGAACAAAATATGTGAACATTGTTGAAAGCATATATAAAATAAGGGCCGAAGAGTTGTTCGTTAAAATATTTGGTCTTCAAAGATATTAAGTTTTCGTTACCACTAGTTAGTTTATACTTGAAAGGGAAAGCCCCGCATACAACTATTGGAAACCCGCTAAAATGGGTACATGCTAGTTGGCTCCGGCGGACGGTATTTGACCCTCTGCCGAAAAATGGGTATAGGTAAATTGGCTCCGATGGTGCAAGGAAGGTAGATTTTATGGTACCTCCTACGGTGAGGGGATCATCTGCAGATACGTTATTTCCTGCTGTCGGAAGAGATGTGTTGTTTGAATTACAGGAACATATAATTCCATAGTCATCAAATTTCTATGTCTAGAAAGTGGTGGCGGTAAGGTAGTTACAAAGGGGTTTTCTGGTATTTCCCAGATTTGCGGGGTCTTTGAAGTAAGAGGATAACAATCGTTACGGTGAGAGTAAATATTTCTATACTTTTATTACTATCTGCACTGGTCGAAAATGCCCATTCAACACAAATACAAAATTTCCGGCCGAAAAATATCAGTTTTTTCTTAAACTTTCTTGTGCCCAAGCGCTTAAGATAATTGTTACAAAATGGACTGTTTGGACGAAATGAT